CCCCCCGCCTCGAGTGCACAAATTTTTGTCCACCGGGCCTCTAGTCAGAATATATTATGTATAAACTCAAGAAACTTGTTTTATGACTTAGCAGCAGGTTCATCTTGGGGAATGTTCCATGTATTCTTAGACATCATGTTCTTGGGTATTGTATTCTATATATGCCAATTCAGCCAATTGGTTGCTAATATTGTTTGAGTTCTCAGTATTCCTATTAATTTTATGTATACATGTTCCATCATTTTCTGAAAGAAGGGTGCTGAAATTTTCAGAAATTATTGTGGAATTTATTCCTCTTTTCAGTTTTATCAGTTTTTGTTTCATATATTTTGAAGTTTTCTTTATCTGTTACATACATTAGGTTTGTTATGACTTTGTTATGACTGCATTATTTTGTCATTATGCTATATCCCTTTTATTCTTGATAATGCTTTCTTTTAAGTTCTTCTTTTCTCACATTAAATACCCCACTCCAGCTTTCATACAATTCTTGTATTCATGGTATATTTCTCTATACTTTTATTTTTAATATTTCAGTGTCTTTTTATTTGAAGTATTTTTTTTTGAGGGGAGAAGATTGATACCATAAAGTTAGGCATTGCTTTCTAATCCAACAATCTCTGCCATTTAACTTTTTGTCTAGTCCCTTTATATTTTATGACATTATTGTCATGGTTGGTGTAAAGTCTACAATCTTTCTACCTATTTTGTATTTGTTCCATTTCTTCTTGGTATTTATATTTGTTACTTTCTGTTTTCCTTTTGATTAATTGAATATTTTTTATTATTCTCTTTTACCTCCACTAAGATTTGGTTTTAACTTTATTTTTATTAATTATACTATTACAGATGTCCCCATTTCCATTCCCCCCTGCCCACTTTCACCCAGCCCTTGCTGTCCCCCTGCTTCTGCCCACCACTTCCCTCTGGGCATCTTCACACTGTTGTCTCCTCCCACCTGCCCTCTGCTGACAGTGTATTCTATTTTTTTCATTTGATTCCACATGTAAGTGAGACCATATAATATTTGTCTTTCACTGACTGGCTTATTTCACTTAGCATAACAATCTCCAGGCCCATCCATGCTGTCGCAAAAGGTAAGAGTTCCTTTTTTTTTAATGGCTGCATTATTACTTTTACATTATTCCTTTGTGTAAAAGTATCACAACTTTTCTATCCACTCATCTACTGATGGGCACATGAGCTGTTATTACTAGAAATGTCAAAAGACAGGAATTAGTTGCCAAAAATTAAAATATACAATATTAACCATTCCATAATTGATTAGATATTGTAGGTAAGTGACAAAAATTAACATATCATCTATGCCAGGAAAAAAATAAATGATAATATCTATAATTAATTATTAATATGTTCAAGAAAATAAAAAAAAGAACACATCTGCAATAAAGTTAGCAACTATCAATACGAAATAGGAGAACTTTAAAGAAATTAAAAACACTATCAACACTAATCTATTATGGGGTTTATATATTATGATTTTAACTTTTATTTTTGAAATTAATTTCTATCTTTTGGCATTTCTACTAATTTTTATTTGAGTGCTGGAAATTGCTAATACAATATTATGTTCAGTCTTAAGAGGAAGCAAAAATGATGGTTTATCCTTTTCTCTACTAGGCAGATAGACTATCGGGTAATTGTCTTATCCAATCAGAGGTGGGTTTATTTGGAATTTGGGTTTTAGCTTCAGGGTGACTCATTCTAAATCTGGTTTATCCTTGGTTCTTCAAAACTTTCAAGTGAGACCATAATTATTCTGGAGAGTTCCTACTCCTGAGAGTTCCAAATTCTAAGCATTGTCTTGAAAAATTGATAAACAAGCAGAAGAAAAGGAAGTATCTGCTTTTCTTCTTAGGGTTTTAGCTTCTTGCCACTTGGCACATAATTACAGTTTCCAGATACATATGGCATTGTGACTATTTGGACCTGCACCACATATTGACTCTAGGGAGATGGAGAATAGCACTGTATTCATTCGCCTAACTGGAACCACATAGGGTAAGAAAAAACATCACTAACAATGGTGCAATTGCTCCCAAGAAGGAAAAAGAGAAATGTATTTTGCTACTATAGCTCATTACAGAGTCTAAATTATTAATCTATTTAAATAAAATTAACTTGATTGGAATAGGTGTTGGATAGTAATGGAATCTAAGAAAAATCTCAAGTCATAAAGTCAGACTCTACTGGGAATTCTATCTCTGACTCAGCCTTTTTTTAAATAGACAAATCATTTTATATACACATTTCATATACACACATACACATTTTCTGTATCGTTTGTATTTAATAAAATAATATTTCATTGTATAACATCAGTAACAAATAATTCTATTTTAATTTCATGCTTTGATCTCTCTCTCTCTCTCTCTCTCTCTCTCTCTCTCTCAGCACAGTTCATGGTCCATGGCACAGTAGAGCCTTTGGTGGCCCCATTGGGTGGAAAGGTTGAGATCCACTGCCATCTTTCACCACCACAGAGCGCAGCACACATGGAGGTGCGCTGGTTCCGGAACCGCTACACTCAGCCTGTGTATTTGTACCAAGATGGCAGAGATGTTTATGGAGAAATTCATAAAGATTATGTGGAACGGACGAAGTTGCTGAAAGAGTCCATTGGGGAAGGCAATGTGACTCTCAGAATTGAAAATGTTGTCGCTTCTGATTCTGGGGAGTATCATTGTTTGTTTAAAGATGGTGACTTCTCTGAAGAAGCCATTGTGGAGATAAAAATAGCAGGTAAAAGTTTGCTTCTGATGATTTGCTATTCTTTTTTTTTTTTCCTTTCCAATTTGAATGTCTTTTATTTCTTCTTCTTGTCTGATTACTGGGGCTAGGACTAACAGTACTATATTAAAGCGGTGAAAATGGACATCCCTGTCTCATTCTCAATTTTTTTTAATTAAATCTTTATTGTTCAGATTATTATAACTCCCAACCCAGTTCCCACCCCTCCCTCCGCCCTCACTCCCCACCCACTGTCCTCATCCATAGGTGCACGATTATTGTCCAATCTCCTCTCGCATCCCCCACACCCCTTTCCCCCGCAAGAATAGTCAGTCCATTCCCTTTCTATGTCCCTGATTC